ATGAGCCAAATTACTAGAGAGAAGAGCAGCACCAGCCCAGGAGGGATGGATACCATCTCTTTTCAACAGATCAGGCTTGCCCCAAAAACTTTTCCAATTGTCTATGAATTTTATATTATTCTGCGGACACCACTTCGACAGCCAACCATTCAGTGAGGCCAATCGGCTAACTATCTCATCACTCCTGCGTACAGGAAGGGGGCCAGAGCAAATTACAGTGCCTGACATCGTACTTGCGAGTTCACACACCTCTTTAATATTAATTTTGGTGATCTCCGACTGGCGGAGTCGAACATCATTAGTGCCGACATGAATAATGATCTTAGAGAATTTACGATTAGCATTAGCCAGCACTTTTAAATTTGCTTTGATGTCAGGCGCTCTGGCTCCCGGCAAACATGTGACTATGGTGGCTGGTGTCTCTATTTTCACGTTCCGTGTGATCGAATCACCAATTACCAGGGCACAATCAACAGAATTCTCAGTGGGTGTTTCACTGAGCGGGGCAAATCGATTTGTTATGGGAATCGGAACGGAAGAGTGGTTCTTTGATCCGCGACTAGAGCGGTGATCTCTCACAGTAACCCATCTGCCCTGCTGCACGGGCTCTACTTCAGCCGGAACTGAATCATGTAAAGAGTTCACTATGCTAGGCGCATCCAAAACACTATGTAAAGATCTAGCATTCTTACCATCCTCAATTAAAGTTTGGATGCGTGTCTCTAGTTCTGAAATCTTCTCCGTCAGCCTGACTGTCTCCTTGCATTTATCACATATAAATCCTATATTGCCATCGGAGAAGGCTATACTAAACATATGACATGTGACACAGGTGACAATAACAGGACAAGAAGACATTACTCACCGTGTTTGTTGACTGATTTCTCACTTACCTGGACTTTATGAACTCAAAGGCGCGGGCGCGCGAGAGAAAATAAATATATAAATGAGCGCACGGGTGGCGCGTTAGCAGGCTAACGTTAGCGAGTTACTAGCGTGCTGTGTTAACAATAACGGAAGCTAGAGATGTAAGGTTAATCTGAGATGTTGGGTAAGCTGTATTTAGTAGTATAAACAACTAAATAGTAAATGATGGCTCAAAACATAAAGAAATACGAGGCTCAGGCGGAGCTTACAACCTCGAAGCAAACAAACACACAGCAGGCAGCGAGGCAGACAGGAGCAATCGATCAGCGATCAGGAGCAATAAATTTAAAAAAAATTAAAATAATGTAGGCCACTTTTTACTGGTAACATGACATTTGGCATTATCAGGACACATAAAAATATTCCCTCATTGCATTATTATACATTATATTCAACATTATATATAGTAGTTTAATGAACTATCCACAATGCATATTGTCACTAACCACGGTACATATTGTCGCATTGGTAACACTTTAGAATACGGTTCCTTCGTTAATGAATAACTACACAGGAACAAATGAGTAACACAATATTAACAATCTAGTAACTACTATTAACTAACAAGAAATTCTGATTAACAAATTAGTAAGTAACAGCGCACAGATGAAAGTGGTAGTTCACTATTAACTAATTGATAACTACTTTTTTTTAATGCTTCCCAGAGAACTACTGAAGAAGATTAATAGTTCATGCAAAACTAATCAATAACTAATGCAGGACAAATGACTAGCACTACATTAACATTAATAACTGCTGTAAACAAATACACAAGGTTTATCAATATGTAATAGCATAGCAGACTTATGATTTGGGAAATAATTAGCCTATGCTCTCTCCTAGAGAACTATTTATCAACTGAATAATTTTAAAGAAATGGCTTTTTAAATGCAGTTGTCGGGACCTTACTTGTCCTGTAGTGATTCAATGCCTGTCCAGAGGAATGCCAGAAAATTGGCCAGAGTCACGGTGACGGCTGGAACATATTGAGTTATCGGCCATCCAAATACCATATACAGTGATTTTATTATTTAACCTATACCTCGCAAAAAATAAAAAGATTTTATTAATGTCTCAGGGAGGTGCACGTGTGTGCAAATATCTTGTGAAGGATTAGAAGATTCTACACTTTAGGATTGGCTTTTCATGTAAGAATCATGATAACTAACTAGTAATGACTCAAGTGTTACTACATACTTCTAAAGGAATGACTAATTATTTGGATCCGTATTCTAAAGTGAAGATCATGGTAACTAACTAGTAATGACTCAAGTGTTACTACATACTTCTAAAGGAATGACTAATTATTTGGATCCATATTCTAAAGGGAAGATCACGGTAACTAACTAGTAATTACTCAAGTGTTACTACATACTTCTAAAGGAATTACTAATTCTTTTAAGCTTTTGAGGTTTTTGGTGAAGTTTTAGATAGTAATTCCCATAAAGTGTTACCGTTGCATTTTTGTATTTCGATATATTGTGACACGATATATTGTTACACCCCTAGTAATTTGTGAATTTAATTTGATAGTCGTGTACCTCAGTATATGCTAGGACTATCTTCATACTAATTCCCTCGTGGTATATTTGCATGCTATGAGTCTGTGTTTGTCCAAAAAAAAAAAAAAAACTTTATTATACACACAGTAGTTCAACAATCAGATTTTGATGCACTTAAGAGTTTACAACACATTTATATATGCATTTCTGTGAGTTCACAGCATATTTGTATGTTAATGCATTTTCCATTTATGTTTTCTATGTGTGCTGTCCTGTTATGTGGGATAATTCAACATCTACATTTACACGTTAAATACTATGAATCTCTTCTCCTAGAATACTCCTCTAAAAATTATTCAATAAGAAATATTTTCAGTCAGGATTTAGACCGTACCATAGCACCGAGACAGCTCTCATTAGAGTTACAAATGATTTGCTCTTATCATCCAATCGTGGTTGTATCTCTCTATTAGTGTGACTCGATCTTAGTGCTGCATTTGATACTATTGACCACAATTTATTTTTAAATAGACTTGAAAATGATGTTGGCAATAGTGGAATTGCATTAGCATGGCTTAATCATACTTATCTGACCGTTATCAGTTTGTAGCAGTAAATAAAGAGATGTCTTATCGATCACAAGTTCAGTATGGCGTACCACAAGGCTCAGTACTAGGACCGTTGCTTTTCACTCTGTACATGCTACCCTCACACACGCACACACACACACACACACACACACACACACTGTACATGCTACCATTAGGAGATATCATTAGGAAGCATGGCATTAGTTTTCACTGTTATGCTGATGATACTCAGCTCTATATTTCCTCACGCCCCGACGAAACTTACCAGTTCACAAAATTAACGGAATGCATAGCTGATATAAAAAACTGGATGACTAGTAATGTCCTACTACTAAATTCTGAAAAAACAGAGATTCTAATTATTGGACACAAAACTTCCACACGTAATAACCTAGAATACTGTCTAACACTTGATGGCTGCTCTGTTAAGTCCTCGTCGTCGGTTAGGAACCTGGGTGTGCTCTTTGATACCAATCTTTCATTTGAAAGTCACATGTCTAGTATCTGTAAAACCGCATTTTTACATTTTAAAAATATATCTAAATTACGTCATATCTTTTCAATGAAAAATGCGAAACAGTTAGTTAATGCGTTTATGACATCAAGGCTAGATTATTGTAATGCTCTACTGGGTGGTTGCCCTGCACGCTTAATAAAAAAACTACAGCTGGTTCAAAACGCAGCCGCTCGAGTTCTTACCAGAACCAGGAATTATGACCATATTAGTCCGGTTCTGTCAACACTGCATTGGCTCCCTATTAAACATCGTATACATTTTTTAATATTGCTGATTACTTACAAAGCACTAAATGGTTTTTCCTATTATCACTGTAAAGCTGCATTGAACAAATCTACATTGTTAAAAGTGCTATATAAATGAAGATGACGACTTGTCTTTTATGGGTTTCATTAAGTCTCGTCTTCTGTCCATACATACCGCACCATCTACGTCAGGTGACCTCTTGTAAATGCGCAAAAACTGTTTCCATTGTAGTTTTGCGGAATATTCCTTTTTCAAACTGCCTGAAAAACCACCTCATACGAGCGTAAAACTTTTATCGATATATGGGAGTTTTTGCGAAAATGACGTGTTTCAATTGGGCATATTTTCAATTCGCAAATTCAATTTGCGCAATTTGAAGGGGAATTGAAACGCGGCTACACACTTATTCTACAGTATATAATCTTTTGTACTCTTTTTGTCGTGGGTTTCTCTCTGAAATTGACCGAGATCCTCCCGGCCGTGATTAAAGCATATTAAAAGGCATTGTTTGAAAACCTCACAGCAAAATCCCCACCACTCAGTGTTCATATGGGAATCGAGTTAATTCGATTTTTAAGTTATTAATTGAATGATGATTGTTTGATTATTGTAGACACCTGATGATAATGAGCAGAATCACTGAAGGAAAGAGAAACACCAGAGGGGTTATTCCAGAAAGCAGGTTATGTGATAAACCCATTACATAATGTATATGTGGTTTGTTTCAGAAGATCTTGCAGAGGTACAAAAATATGAACTAAAAAAATATAAAATTTAATTTTAGTGGTAAAGGAAGAATTACCTTAACAATAATGTAAACATTTAGAAATGTTTAAAATAATTGCTAGAATTGTTCAAATACATAGGGTTAGTAGCTATTCCTGCTCGACATAATATATCTAATAAAACATAGAGAGACTCTTGAACATCTGGCTGAAAAAAACTTTATTGACAAAGGCAAACAAATCCAAATGAGAAAAAAAAAACCAAATCTGGCAAATCCAAATCTGTCTTTGAGAGAAATGTCGTGTTTAGTCAGTAAATAAGCTTCAGTATAATAGACTCTGATCTGAACAATAATAACAATACAAGACATGTGAGACTTTAAGTGTGATTGGAAGTCTTTTTTTAAAATCCCCAATCAAATATGAATGACTAGATTCATATAAAAAAAATCAGTATTTACAATGACAAACACTCACATTTAACACTTTGAGCACTGAGTTAATGAGAAAATATGTTGCTGTTTGTTCTCAAATGATGTTCTAGGGTGAAAATAAACCACCTAAAAATAAACATACAGTAAATGCCAGCATATAAAGCCATTACAAATAAATGAAGATTAATAAATGACAAAAAATAGTAATATAAGAAATGACACATTAGGTTTCTGATGTGTGAATATGAGCTTGATCTCGTTCAGCTCTTCTGGATCTGATTTCATAAACCAGAACAATGACAGTAGCCACGCCCACCAGAGCAGAGAGGACCAATCGGATCACAGCTTCAGTAGGACCACACCAGTGGACAGAGTCTGAGGAATAAAAGCATCAAACTGACATCAGATCAGTTCATAAACACTAATATCAGCGCTGACATCAACTAATATCAGCCGTACCTGAACATGTGTGACAGAGTTGAGAGATGTTGAGATGTTGAGTCTGGTTGCTGATGGGATTGTTCAGCACACAGATGTAGGTGTTTTTATCCTGATATTCCACATCCAGAGGCAGAGAGAGACTCATGTTGAGATCAGACACACTGATGCTGGACAATAAACTGGTTCCTTTGTACCAGGAGAGAGTCACATGACCCACATTCACAGCTGAACACACCAATGAACATGAAGATGATGATGAAGAACAGTCTCTGCTGAGGACAGGAACAGGCAGACGAGCTGGAAAACATGAGAGAAAAGATAAATAAGGACAAATCTAATCAACAATAGTCTTTCGGTTCAGTCAGTGTGTTGAGTCAGTGTTTATATTATCTATTATCTCAAACTATAAAATGATTCAACAAATAATAAATATGTATAATTGGTCAAAAAGAAGAATATTTGAAGGACAGGAGAAATGATCTCTACTCACCATAGACAGAAACTCTGAAAGCATTTAATGAGAAACTGTAATGTCCTCTGATAGTTTTGATCTTATAATGTCCAGCATGTTCAGGTCTGATGTTTGTGATGGTCAGAGATCCAGTTTGATTGTTCAGCTTCAGTCTGTCTCTGAATCTCCCGAGATAATCATCATATACAGTGATTCTGTCGGCCTTTACATCAATTTCAGCGATTAAAATGTTTTCGTTTCCAAACATCCACCGAATCTAATAATAATCCTTTATTTCAGTGAGATCAGAGTTTACAGTGAGTGATTCTCCCTCCGTCACTGATATTTCAACTGTATCAACAAACAGAAACAGAGTTTGTAGCAGATATATTGATATTGATATGTCAAATTAACAATAACAGAAAACAAAAAACAGAAATTAAGCAAAATAGTGTTTTAGATTATTATTGTTTCGTATGATTAAAACATAAAAATGGTAAAACAGATATTTAACCTACCAAAGACAGCGAGAAGGACATCACTGGCCATACTCCATATAGATTCAAATTGTCCAGCACGTCGTATATCATGTCCAGCATGTTGTCCATAAAGTCCAGCATGTTCAGGTATGATGTTTATGATGGTCAGAGATCCAGTTTGATTGTTCAGCTTCAGTCTGTCTCTGAATCTCCCATCAAGAACATCATCATATACAGCGATTCTGTCAGCCCGTTTATTGATTTCAGCGATTACAGTGTTTTCATATTCACGATATCCACTGAACGTCCACTGAATCACATCATCATCCTTTATTTTAGGGAGATCAGAGTTTAGAGTGAGTGATTCTCCCTTCATCATAAGCTTCCGTTCATCTTCATCACCAAACACACCTGAAGAAAAGAGTTTTTCACAAAGCTTTAAAATCACTTGATGTTGGTTTGATGAAGCTTTAAGATAGTGGATGTAGCTAAATTTATTGTTCCTCAAAGTTAAGCGTGTGTGTGTGTGTGTGTCTCCACGCTCGTGCGTGCAGCATATTTGTGTTGTTTCATTGTACAAGTTACCCTAATATAGAGGGAAATGTAAAATAAGTGCGTTCGTTGGATTCTCTTATTAAGTACCGTAGGTTTTTTAATTTAGACCTACCGCCTTTCGCCAGTATGTTTTTTTTTTACGCGGGGGATGGTGGAACTAACACAGTCTCATCCCAAGACGTCAACTAACTGACGCTTTTGACCATACGTCAATATCCGACGTTTTAGGGTACCCTTTAACGTCAGTTAGATGATGATCCTGGGGCGTCATCCAACTGACGCTTTACCTTTAACGTCAGTTGGATGACGCGGGTAGGTTTAGGTCTGGGGTAGGGTTAGGATTAGATAGCGTTATCTAACTGACGTTAAAGGGTACCCTAAAACGTCGGATGTTGACGTATGGTCAAAAGCGTCAGTTGGTTGACGTCTTGGGATGAGACTGCGCTGGTGGAACAGCTAACGTTAGGTTCTGTAGCACGAGTGAATTGCACACGTCTGTCTCATTTGAAGTTATATGAACTTATTAAATGTCAGTGTTATTATTTTGGCTTTGTACAGTATGAGCACAATCATTTTAACAGCATACTTTTGCACTCGATAAATTTGCTCCAACCAACATTAAGTCGTCGTCGATATAACAGAGGACATTCACTTAAGTTTCATTTGAACTTGTTCCTCAAAGTTAACACACATGTCTGTGTTTTGATAGCTGGATTGTGCTCTTCCATAGTGTAAAATGTTTACTTGCAAACTTTGTGCACACACATGCAGTACCTGCATTTGTGAGACACATGCGCATTCATATTCATGTCGCGAATGTCAGGTTTAATTGTGCATTGCCTGCTTGTAATAAGAGTTTCAAAAAGTTTTCAGCTTTCAAAACTCGCTGTTATCGACACAAAGAGGGGAAATCTAAGCTCAAATCTATGCCATTGACTTCATTTGAATTAACGTGTCATGTTGACTTGTGTCAAGTCAGGTGTGACACTATGAGTATATTTTATCAGCATCTTAAAACTAAGATGTGATCAAAGAATGAAATTGAATGTAATCAAAGAATGAAAAGGTGAAGGATGTCCTGTCCCAGCCTGAAAACACAGAGATGGCACACCTGCATATCAAGCTTCTAATGTCCCATTTTCAGGAACATGAAGATGGACTGGTGTTGCATGCAGATGTGAGTATTTAGTTTTCTACTTTATTATAGGAGAACTCTGGTCAATTTTAACATTGAGCTCATTTTTTTGTAAATTTGGAGTGCTGTCAGGACAGAGAACAACGACAAAAATTGGTGTTGCCTACACAGTGTTATCCTCTTTTTAAAATTTGCACCCTATTGACCGGAGTTCTCCTTTAAGTGATGATATGTATTCTGATTTGTGTATTGTGTCCTCTTCAGGTTGCTGCATCTGCAGCTGATGTTGAGAAGAAACTTCTACCTGGAAGTCCTCGTCTTATTTTACTGGGTTAGTATGTTAAGAAGAAACATTGACAAATGGGGAAGATACAGTAAAATAAAATAAAACATTTCTAATTTGTATACAGTTGTTAAAGAATAGTTCACCCAAAAATGAAAATTGTCATCGTTTACTTACCCACATGTTCCAAACCTGTATAAACTAATTTGCTCTGCTGAATACTCCACACTGTTGTTGTTTTTTCCTACTATGAAAGGCAATGGTGCCTCACAACTGTTGGGTTACTGTTATGAACTGCTCCGAGACTTGGAGGTGAAGATCCTAGTGATGTTACATATGACACTGAAGCTTCAATGTGCGTATCGCGAAAGCGAAGCAATTTCTATTGAAGCCCCGTATCGGGGTGTGTATTGGTTTCCCAGAGGTTACGTGATCGATGACAAACGAAGCCTCACTTTCTGTCCAATCACGTGCGCGTCTCGCTTTGGGTGTCAGAAGGCTCGAAGGTCCTTGTTGGCTCAGTCTGGTTGATGGGTTTGTGAGGAGAGTGCTGTACTTTGAAAGTTAATCAATACATTACATTTAAATAACCAAAACTACTTATTATTTTGTTGTTGTTGTTGTTGTGTCTTTTTGTTTTTGTAAGATCGTTGCACTTTTGGTGTTTTTTAGGTAATTTGGTGTTGGTATTTGGGTGTTTGGTGACGGGGTTGTATTTACAGCAATGCCAACAGCCAAAAAAAAGGAAGACTTCCCCTAACTGGGAATATTTTGAGCTTATAGCTTCCAATGTATGAATGCATTTCTAAAAAGAAATAAAGAAATATTTATTTATTTATTTATTTGGTATTATTTTATTTTTTATCATTGTATTCTATAATTGTTGACCGTTGATTTGTCTTATATTCAGTCAATGTACATGTACAGTCACTCCCAACAAAAAAAATGTATCCTCACACTTCTGTGGAAACCTTTGGCTTCTGCTGGACAGTGCTGTAGACCAGCGCAAACAAAGCTCAAATGCCACTTCTGATGCGATCGTAGAAGTGGATAAATACCTTACAGAGACAAACATACAAAGAGCTGAAGATCCACTTGAATACTGGAGAATGCAGAAACATGTCCCCCATCTATATACATTGGCATTACAGAATAATTCAAATCTTTATCACCTTTCTGTCATTCCTACAGTTACATAAGCACTATCACTGCCAAGTGTCAGATGAACAGATGATCCTATCACACAATGTCCTTATTCACTATATGTGTGTGTGTGTGTGTGTGTGTGGAGAGAGAGAGAGTAGGCCTACATTAAATCTTATTAAATCATATGCTCATTTTATATTTTATTGTCACACTTTAATGGGTAAAATCATTTATTTATTAATGGACAAATCAAACACAAACGTGTAAGGCTTTTTATTTCTACACATAACATTGAAATTATGGAGTGTGTTGTGGTTGCTTCATCTGACAGAGCTTTTAACACAGGCTTCTGGCTGCTTTATTTTAAATAAGCACCAGATGGCGCTGTTCTCGACACTCTCGAAGCTTTGAATCTTTTCCCGGAACAGTCAGGGGAAAGCCTCATTGATTCACGAGGCTTCATTTCCCCATCCCTAGAAGATCCAAATGCAGCTTTATTATAGAATAGTCGTACAGGCAGGGTCAAGAATCAGCAAACAGGACAATGGAGAATACACAGAGAGAATCCAAGAAACAGGCAGAGGTCAGGGCAGGCAGCAATAATCAATCCAAGAACAATCCAAAGTCAAAAACAGAAAAACAAACACGGGAAACCGCTCGGAAATGCAGACACACAGTACAAGACTTCACAATAAGTGAATGTGAAAACCAGGTATTTATGGTGTGAACTAAACAAGATGCTGAGAAACGGGTGATTGAGATGAGTGCTGATGAGTCCGGGCAGTGAGTTATGGGAAATGTAGTTTGTGAGTGAAACATGATTGTCTGGTGTGGAGTGCCCTCTGGTGTCTCTCAAGGGCACTCCAGCTGGTGACCGTTACAGTTACAAACATGCCTCCAAATAAATTATTTTGTGTTCAGCAGTAAATTAAGACAGAATTACATTTTTGGGTGAACTATCCATATCCATTTACAATTAAGTGTTCTCAAAGGCAGATCTTTAAATGTTATTGTTGTTATATGTATTTATTTATTTATTTTGTTTGTTTGTTTTTGCTGTTTTTATTTTAGGTATGGGAGAGCAGACAAATGCTGTACGATGGATAAGTCTTGAAGGCCGTTTTATTTGTGAGTGTGTCCAGTCATCATTTTTGACTGCACTTTCAACACTTTTTGCTGTGTACTACGTCTTCAACCTGCAGTATCAAGAGGAGGCTTGTTGCACATTGGAGTTTCTTCAAAGGTATGACACTTAAGTCCTTATTGCATTTTTTTCTACCTTTCATCTTCATAAGAATTTTGATGCATCATTCTTGCATTCAATGGTAATTTGTTATATAACTGTCTTTAGACGCTTCGTTGGAATAAACCCAGAAAGAGGTTCAAAGACCTGCAGAGGCAAGGTGGTCTCCAAGAAGACGGGCAAGGTGGTGAATAAAAAGTCTTCCACAGTCAATCCAAAGATTGCCTCTCTACTGAGAAATCTTGCGGATTTCGAGTGGGATGTCATCTAGGTAAGTAAATTTGCACGTACACACTAATTTATGTAGCTGCTTCCCATTAAAGTTATTACAGTATACCAGCTTTTTGTGTAGAACAGTTTACAATACACTACACTACTGAAAGCTCTTTTCATTTTAATTTCAGATGTGCTTTTCAATGTATTACTAAAGTGTGTGTCTTTCCAAACCCATAAGACTTGTTCATCTTAAATGAAGAACTTAAATGAAGATCTTTTTAATGAAATCGTATCCGGTTACTTAACCCTCTGGGGACCA